CGAACGTGGCATTGTCAGCTGATATCTAGACTAAGGGCTCCCCTTAGGAGCAGTTACCACTAATAAAGTAGTCAAGACACAATATAAATTTTACATTATTCTCTAGGGGGGAAGCTATCCTTGGCTCATGACCAAACTCTTATAATTCACAGGCATCTTTACTTCATGAGCGCATTTCCTTCACAAGCACTTCTACTTCACAAGTGTTTCTATTTCAGACGCTTACTTTACATGAACATTTACTTCACAAGTGCCACTACTTCACAAGCGTCTTTGCTTCACACATACCTTTACTTCACAAACAGCTTTACTTCACAAGCGCTTCTATTCACAAGCACCTCTACTTCACACACGCCTTTACTTCACAAGCACCTCTACTTCACAAACAGCTTTACTTCACACGCACATTTATTCTACACGCACCTCTACTTCACAAACAGCTTTACTTCACACGCACCTCTACTTCACACACACACACCTTTACTTCACACGCACCTCTACTTCATTAGCGCCCGTACTTCACTTACCTGAATATACAATGCAGTTGATCAGAGTCCGAAGATCCCGGCAGCAGTGGGGACCTGGTGTGCAGCTGCGCCAGCACGCAGCCGCACGACCACACGTCGACAGCAGTGTTATACGACACGCCCAGCAGCACCTCCGGGGGACGGTACCATAGGGTCACCACCTGGCATCACCAGAAACCATTAATGCACTGATTCCTGCGGTGAAATACCATAACCATAAGATATGTCTCAAGTGGAAGTCTTTTTTGATGAGAGGCCTTTTTGTCTTTAACAAGGAAGGCATATGAAAGGGAAGTAAAATTGACGGGGGATGTGATGCATAGGGAGAGGAAATTTTTTCTTTGTGTGCATCCCCTGTTAATTATAAATATCTGAAATATCTGTGTGTCAGGCAAATGTGGATGTATGTGGAAAGCAGTCGCTTCGCTATAACGGCGATTCTGAAGGGCATTTGATTGTTTTTCACTTTATACTATAAAAAAGACTGAACATTGAACTGTTCTGAATATAAATAGCAATAAACATTAAAGTAAATTAATAAGAAAGAACTGATACTATACTCACAACACTGGTGAGCTTCATCTCTGTATCATAAGTCTTTGCGAGCCCAAAATCAGCCAGTTTAACTCGACCTGCGGCTGTCACCAGCAAGTTATGTGGCTTCAGGTCTCTATGCACGATGCGGTGGGAATGAAGGAAGTCGACACCACATAGTATATCGTAGGACATACTCTGAAAAATGAAAAACATTCAAATAAGTTAGAGAAAACAGTATCTAATAATATATGGTTAGAAATATTTCAAAATACAGTTTTTATAATTTTTATAGCATAAAATAAAAAGTCTTAGTTTTTTTTTTAAATTAATTGTTGATAGTAACTTGATCATACATACATTCATACAATCCATAAACCATATTAATCAGTACTAAAATTATAAAGAGGAAAGATTTGTATTTTTGTATGCATTGAAATATCATAACTCAAAAATTACAAAAAATCTTTTACCAATAAATAGCTATGTTATCGCTGAGCAACAT